GCAGTAGAGGGCAGCAGGGATCGCTCCCTGCTGCCCCCCCCCCGGCCTGGCAGCAGCCGGTGCATCCGGGGTTTTGTTGTCTTTTTTTTTAAAGGGCTGGGAGCTGGGGTGTGTGGGGCAGCCATGGGGGGCCTGGGGGAGCAGGCGAGGGTCAGGGGCATGTGACAGAGCCCCCCACGCAGTGGGGGACAGCAGGGATTGCCCCCCCTGCCGGGCAGCAGCCAGTGAGTGGAGGCCTTTTTTTTTTCTTCTTCAAAGAGCCAGGAGCTGGGGGAGCGGGCGGGGCAGCCATTGAGAGCGGGCTGGGGATGGGGCTGATTCAGCCGATTCAGCTGTGACCAAATTGTGAAACCAGATTCGGCCAAATCAATTCGGGACAGTGATTCGAATCACCGAATTGAATCGGCCCCTGATATGCCATGTCAAGGAATGGGTTGAGGTTGGGGTGTTTTTGGCACTCTGACCAAAAATGTTGCTGACTCCTGGTTCAGATGATGATGTGTCGCATGTATTCATGGATTTGCAAGGCCTTGGATGGGTGAACAGAATCGCCCTTTGGTGGCCAAGTCCATTTATGAGCACAATAATTGGAAGTAAATCTGACCTGGCTGCCTATACCTCTCCACCCAAGTCGCACAGCTCCGGGAGTAGATTGGGGCTGCTCAGAAGAGCTTCTGGAGAAAGCAGCCAGTGGTCCTGAGGAGCCCAGGTCTGCTGGGAGCTTGTGTGGGAAGAGAAATGAAGAGCTGCCTAGGGCACTGGTTCCCAGTGTTTTTAGACTATTGGCATGGGTGGGAAAGGACCAGCTCTTAGTTTTGCCTCCTTTTTTTCTTTGAACCCCTGGCTCAGAATAGAGCAATTGATGTCTGGCAAACCAACTGAGAAGGACCACAGCTGCTGCACCCTGGTGGAGAATCCCTGGCCTGGAGGCGCTCCAACCCTGCCGTGGGCAGGAGGGCAGAGAAAGAAAGCAGCCTGGGGTGGAGGCTGCCGGGGGAAGCAGCATGGCACGAGGCTCAGTCTTGGGCAAGTTTTAGAATGGAAATAAAAACAGGGCTGGCAAGAGGGCTGGAGGATGCGGCGGGGAGCGGGAGAAAGGAAAGCCAGGGAGGAAGCAGAGAAGTGCCCCTGCCCCTCCTCGCCCCATTCAGTGCACCCAGGTGCTGTGGGCCTGTGGCCGTTCTCTGCCCCGACTAGCACCAGCGTGCCACAGCACCCTCTGCGGCACAGGGAGACCCTGCCCCCCTCTCCCCTTCTTTCCTGCCTCAGCTGAGCACTGCTGCTGCGCAGCTCCAGCCCCCTGCAGGGCTGAGGTGCGAACAGGACACAACTCCTGGTGGTGGTGACTCCACAACTCCTGCAACTGCTGGAGCAGACACCTGGGGGTCACTCCGCCCCACACTGCTGGGTTCCCACCTCAGACTTTCCCAGCACAGCCCCCTCTTCTCCCCTCTATGGCCTGACCCAGCCAGGCGGGCATGCAGCTACTGATGTCCATAGAGTCCTGGCTAAGCATGCGAGCCATAGCACCAGGCAAGAGGCATGGCAGCTGCCTCCTTCCCCTCCATGGTGACGATCCAAAGAGGAGGAGGCAGAGGAGCTGCGGTGCTCACCACAACAGCCATCCACCTCCCGCACCTGTCACAGCAGGACCCCATCATCATGTGTCCCCACCCTCACACCCCCGCAGGGCCAATGCGATGGGGTGGGAGCAGCCCCGCTTCCCACAGCTGGGAGGGAGGGATGGGAAAGGGCAGGGGGCAGGCTGAGGGAGCAGTCGCCACCTGAGCTAGGTAGCAAAATCAAGCTTCTTGCCTGAAGCCGGCATGCACAGTGAGGGTGGGAAAGCAGAGGCAGGGCAAAGTCCCAGACATTTGCTGATATTTAAAAAAAAGGCCTGGACAGAGATGGGAGAACCCAAAAAAAGGACATGTCCAGGAAAACCTGGACATATGTTAACTGTATTGAGTCTAGTTTCAATTCAGGTGACACTTCCATACCTCTTGAATAATTCTCCTGTATTTTTAAGGACTGCAGTTCATTCTCAGACATGTAGTACATTAGGTCTTACTTGAGGGTGTTATTGTTGCTACTTCCATTTGAAATTAGCCTTGTTTTCAATAAATGCATTTTGCTCCTTGGCCCAGTTGTGGCAGATACGTATTACCTCTATAACTGGGTTGTATCAGCTTCTGTGCTGTCAGTTTACTTTGCAGTGGGCTCTAAACACCCTTAAAAACTGGTTTATGGAGGCAGCGTGTTTCCTGCCATTTCCACCAGCTCTTGGTCCAGTACCAGACCACATATACCAAAATGCTGCCACAGCCTATATTTGGTTTCTTTTTTTATAATTGAATCAAGGTACTGTGAATAGCCATTATCTGGGCAGCACCAGAGCTATGTTTGGTTATCTGTCTCTCACAACTGAAGAGGAAAGAAAGCCCTCTTTTCCCAGACTTACATTTCACACTGATTTCTGCTGGATGTGTGCTATCATGCATGGCTTCTCTCTGGCCTCTGTGTACTTCATCCAGTTAATGTCCCAAAGAATGAAATCAATGCAGGGAAAAATGGTTTTCCTTTATTTTTTTATTTGATGTTATTTGTATCGTCTCTATGGTGCCTTTCTAGATACGCTTGAATTAATTAACCCTAGCCACAAGAAGTCTGAATTGACTGTCCTGGCTAGGAAATCCCCAGACTTATCCTGAAATATACTTAGGTCTGAAGGGGGTCTCTTTTCCATCATTAGTAAATCCCTGTAAGGTAATTTAACAGGCGCAATTCAACTGCATGTTCACTAATGTTACCTAAACTCTTCTAATGATTCACCCTCAGGTAGTCAGATTTTAGACTACCTGGTGCTATTGTGTCATGCTCACTGAACCGAGCTGGCTGGGTGATGTCACTGCCATGACCTCAGGCTTCTACTTCAGGTAGGGGCTTGTGCCTTATGAAGATAATGAGTTTGTTGTCTATGGTCAAATCCACTGCCTTAACTGTGGAAGGGTGTTTTAGAGGTTGGTGTTAATCACTGTCTCTGAATAGAGCTGTTAGCCAGCCCTGTAATGTTGCAAAAGAAAGCAGGGCCACATGGGAAGGCCAGGTGTGAAGAAAGCTCTGTGAAGGTCCAATTAGACTAACCCCCGTCTACTTGGCAAGATGTTGCTCTGGGTGAACCAGCTACAAAGGAAGACTTTGCCTTTGGGGTTCCTCTCTCTTTTAAGGCTTTCCTGTAGGCTGCAAGATGTTTGTAGCCAGAAGATGGTTTAAGCCCTTCTAAGAAACACACAGTATAATTGCTAAAGCCTTGCATTCCTTGCCTGCAGGTTGTATTATTGCCTGCTCATTCTGGGAAGAAGACAGAGAAACAGCATTGCATTGACTACAGTTCCTCTTACTGTTGTTTAGGACTAGCGTTGATAGGATCCAGATGGAGCCTCTCAATATCCTAAACAGGGGGAAAGCTGTAGCAACAAGCAGCTGGTTCTAGAGAAATCATAAGGTTAGAAAAAACCTCCAGGGTCATCTAGGCTAGTACTCTGCAGAGATGCAGGGTTCAATATTCCTAAACCATCCCAGACAGATACCACTCCCTGAAAACCTCCAATGAAGGAGAGTTGTGACCATGGAAGCACTGTTGGTTCATTAACTAAGTGGAGGTGCTGGTTTTGTGTAGAAGTTCTTCTATCATTATTGTCAGGGCCAAGGGGCTGTGGCCAGCAGCCCGGGCATGTGGGCCGGGGAAAAGGTCGGCACGGTGAACTAGAATTAGGCACTGACGCGTAGAGGTTGATTAAAGATTATTTTACTTACACCGTAGGTGGTCACGGTGCAGGCAGGAAAACTTTCTTGAGTTGCAGTTACAAAAGGACACACACGTGGAGTTTGCTAGGCTCCACAACACGAACAGAGCTCTGGATACCACTCACGGAGTTTGCTAGGCTCTGTGGACCGTCCAAAATGAGAGGCCGAAAGGTGACTCTCCATGAGCGCGCAGGGTGGGGTACGTCGAGGGATTGTGCGGCGACGGGGAGAGGCTAGAGGTTGATCAGGCCCCTGTATCCTCCTTTAAGGCACACGCGGAGTTTGTTAGGCTCCACAGCGCGCTTAGAGTTCTTCACGAGATGGCTGTGAAGTCCTCCTCCTCCAACTTGGGCGGAAACTGCTCAAGCCTCTTATACGGCTAGGAAGCCCGTGGCCAGGCGCGCCGGGGGGATTCTTTAGAAACAGCCAATAGTGGGAAACAAATTTACATACGGGTGGCGGGAACTCCTTTGCACCGGGGTTTTCTCTATGCAACTGAGAATTGCACCATGCAAAGAAAGCTCCTTGTGGCGGGAAATAATTCTGCAGTGCCGAAGCGCACACAAAATCATACCCTTTGGGTCATGACAATTATGGCTATAGAAACATTTACTGGTAGCAGGGTGAGGAAGAGCTGAAATGCTCCTCAGTCACATGGGAGTGAATCCCATTTTAATCTTTGTAAAAAATTTTACTGTCAAATACGGTGGTTTTCTTTTGTCACCAGATTGTTCCAAACCTGACTAGTGAACCCTTTAGTGTGCTTGCTGGAAGGATGGGTCTTGATGGAGTCATGCAGGAGACTCTGCTTCAAACTTTCTTTGAAGTTTTGCACAAGTCACTTTATTCCTTTGTTCCTGTTCCCATCTGTAAAGTGAGATAATGGCCTTTAGGAGTGTGCTAGGATCATTTCATTAGCTTTTGTGGGGTCCTCAGTTTGAGTTCACTGGTCATTTTAACTCATGTTAATTATGGCTTTTCCTTGTTTGCAGATTGCCCGGCAGGAAGGAAGGGTCATTTTAACCTCTGGACTCCCATATCAGACGGTAAATACGTTTCTCTTATATTGTATCATTTTTGGGACTAGAATACATTAGGCAGAGGAGAGAAGAAGTCAGATGTGAAAGCAACAGCTGGATGAACTTTTTCATCTGTTTCCTGTACTGAAAGCCATTGATATGCAAAAGGGTCTTCTTCTTGCTCTGAATATCAGAGGGTCAGGAATAAGTTTGTTTCACTTCTCATGCAGCCAGTATTGAGAGCAATTGCTCTGCATCTTAAAAGGTAATAGAAAGCAAACCCATCTCTGAACAAAGTGGCTCTGTGCAGCTTATCCGGAGTGATTAAATGCAACTAACTTCCCATCCATTTCATCAAGGAGTATAAGGAGATTCCTGTTTATTGAATATATCCACACTGACAACACTATCTGCTGTCTAATGCTGTACGGCTTTTTTGGGGGCTTGGAAGAAATAGAATGGAAGTGCCAAACATGATCCTGGTTGGCAGTTTGAACTGTTGTGTGCATATATAAAAAGTAAAACAGTACTACACTCAGCACAACTACAAAAGCTTATATTCCTCAATGAATCAAATGTAAGTTCCCTCTCAAATACTGTTAGTGCATCCTCAGATGGAATATGTTTAACCACACAAGTGAATAATTATGATATATTATGATACCCATTGTAGGAAGTCACATGTCTTGTCTTGTGATCTACAGAGTGATTTCTAGCAGTAAAACAATTCAGGATTGCACGTGTGGATAGACCATGGATCTCCCCCATTCCAGACCACAGATATACGATGATGACCCAACTATATTTGTATTATCTTTTTGCTTAGACCTGGATTGATTGTAAGCTGCATCTTGCTGGTTGATTATTTCATATGGCTTATTGCTGGGCCTGAAAGAGGACTCTAAATATTTAATCTGTTTAAGACTATGGGGTCAGGCCATGAGTGAGAACTTCCATTGAGTCAGGAACTTCCATTGGTCAGGCCTTGTGTTAGGAGGCAGATCTTCAGTTCATGAATGTTGTGTGAGAATTGCCAATGGAAAATAACCATCCTAGGATGCGTAGTATTGTTTTAGGAAATAGCTGTTAGAGTTGAATCTGTAGATTTTGTTCTACCATTGTGGATAACACAAAATAGCAGAGGGTTTGCTTATAGTAGACTTTTAGACTTAATTGATTGCTAATTATCTCAAGGTACTGAGCACCTTTATAAAGGCTAAACTAGACACTTCCCAAATATGCACTCCAAGTTACAGACATCTGCACTAAACCTGTATCCTGGAACAAACACATAGGAAGTGGCCACATCAACCCTTGCAAGTTCAATGACCATTAGCTTGCTTGAGGTAAAAATAAATGACTCGTTGAAATAAAGCTAGAAAGGGTCAGATGGTTCCAATTTATTTCATCAAGTGCTATCTCCTCATCTCGGCTTGCTTTGCTGCATGTCAGTGTATGAGCTCGCATCTGGGGTTCACATGATAACCATGGTTAAATACAGTCCTATGTCATTTCAGACAACACCACTCTACTTCTGTATGCTAACTTACAGGGAAATTAAAACTTACTGTTGGGTACAGCATACTGAACATTAGACTGTTCCAGCAGTCTCAAAACCCTTTGCAAAGGTGTCTTAAATTACTAGTGTTAAATTATCATGTGTGTTCTAAATTTAGTGAATAGGCATACAATAGCATCAAACATTATTTGATGTAAAAATCAACTCTGGTGTGTTTTAACGAGCCCAGATCCCAGTGTCTTGAATACATGGTTTGTCATGTCTTTGGTGTGCGACTTGCCTTTTGCAGCTGCAGTCCCAGGTAGGAGAAGGGAGATGTTTCTCTGTGAACTGTTCAGAAAAAGCAAGGGAGCAGGCCCTACAAGTTCTGAAACACTTCAATGTTCAAGTGGCTCTGGCAGATATCTTCAGTCGCTGTCAGGTAGGAATCTTTTTTTCTAAATTAATATCACTGCTCATTTGGTTTAAGTACACACCATTGTAGTATTCTGGCTTTATATCCTTGGATCTTCCTGTGGGTCCCCAGGGTTCCTTCCTGTACTTTGAGAAGGACTCACAAAGCAGTGTGTTTTTGAAAAGTGCTAATGTCCTTTACAAATGTTGGTGACCATGACCAAATCAAAAGCATCAGCTACATATGAAGCCGGTTAGCATTTGGTATAGCTTTCAAGTTTCTGATATTTAGGGTTTTGTTTAGTCTTGATGATCATGGATATTCTCTTCTCTTTGTTTCTGAGTTCTTTGCCTAGAACACATGCTGTTTTAATTATATAAAGCATAGTTAATTGTGGCTGTATGTTCTGATATCCCTTAATTACATTAATGGAAAGGGAGAGTTTTACTTGGTTTGGAAGGCCAGGATTTTGTTTGAGGCTGTTGGGTTAGTTCATGTTTTTGCTGTCTGATGAATCCAGATTATGTTTGGGATTGAATATTTTTGGACTGATTTAAAAAAAAAAAAATCTTGATTGCGTTAGGCTTAATTCTTCTCCATCACTTCCAGTTTCACTGGTGCATTCATTACAGTAACACACTGTAACTTATCCCTTTGAAAACTGTAATATAAGCCGACTTGTGACTTTAACATTTCTTATCTTATCAGGGCTCTAAAGATAGGAAGAGAAGAAATACACAAACCTGACTAGAAAAGGAGCATTCCTTTACGGGTAAATGAGCCAAGTCTAGCATTTCAGTAATGGTCTGCCTCAATGCTGTTTGGTAGACAGCTAGCAGGGTTTCCTAGCAGTGTGGAACTTTGTGCATTTTGTAGCAATAGCAGTGAATATTGGGAAAACACACAGAAGCATACTTTTCTAGAATTCCACTTATATCTGATTTCAGTAGTTGTTGAAACAGTGTCCAAGTCGCTCAGAAAATGAGAGTTGTCCAGCTGTTCAGGACGCCCACAGGATGGGAATAGTAGAGAGCCAAGCAGATGGCATAGACATAATATGGGTCACTTGGTTGATCCTGCTTCAGGACAAATGGGTATATTCAGATGTCAGATAATGTACTCAGTTTTGTGGTTTCATTCTTCTCAGGATAGATTTTATTCCATTTAGAGCAACTGGCTTCTTGGTTCTAATTTTTTTTTAAACCTTTGAACCAAACATGTATCCTGTAGACTTAACCAAGATTCCATAAAATGAGAGCATTGTATATTGCAGGCAGCCTTTACAAGACCATTAGAGCAAATAAGTGCAGAGAATATTTTTGCTGCAAAAATCAGTGGGATGATATATCATAAATGCAGATGAGCATGTGACTTGTGGTATAAAACTGACCCCTTACTTTATGGGCCAGATGTTGGAGCTGCTTAGTTCTGCAGTTCTTTTCTTGTGTACTCCTCTATGCTCATTCTTACTGCTGTTATGAAAGCTGTGCCTAGCAGTATATATTATACACCCACCAGCTTCCAGAAAAGATGCTTTACTTGTGTCTTAGTCATGGTAAGACAACTGCACGTGTTAACATACCTGGGCAGGGAAGCTGGCATTAGTTTTTGTCAAATTACTTTGTATTTTGCAAAGGTATTTTACCTTGCAAAGGTATTTTACCTTTACTTTGTATTTTGCAGGTATTTTACCTGCTGACAGGTAAATAAAGGAAGAGCAAGATTTTAGGTGTGGTGATATAAAGATTCATATATCTGATTCAGTATTGTTCTGTATAATGGTATATGCTCAAGTACTTGTTGCAGTATTTTGTGATACACTGATCTCAATCTACTTGGGTAGTTTTACCTCCAGATTTTTTTCTGTTGGATATTACAAACAGCTTAAAGGCTGAAATCCATTCTTGGGACTGTCTAATCTAGCCTGTGGTCACTTCTATGTCATACGTGTAGCCACATTGTAAGGATGTGGCATTTTAGTGCTGTTTTGTGTTTAGGACTGAGAAGACCCTGGTATCCTTCAAAGTCAAAATTACTGTATTGATAGTTTAATCTATACAATAACATTCCTCTAAAGGGGAACCTAAAACTTTTGGCAGCTGTGGACCTAGAGGAACTACTTCTCTAATTACCCTTGATTTCCAAAGATGCAGAGTACTCAAAGCTGTCCCTGATGTCAGTGGGAGTTCTGGGTGCTCAGAGATTCAAAATCAGCTTTCTAACCTGTTCACCCTCCTTCTTTTTTTTCACAAATGGTGTCTGAGCTACAGAACTCACCATGGGGAATAGTCTGTCTGCTTGCCAGAGGGCTGGAAGTTCATTATCAGCTGTGATCATCAATCATAGATAAGCATTTTCTGTGTGTTGCAGGAAGCAATGTGGCATCCTGCCTGCCTCTCTCTGTCTCATGGACCAAGGGCTTGTTTTGTCTCTGGCTCGTATTCAGTAAATTATTTGAGGGAATATGTCAGCAGATATTATTACTGTAACAGTTCCTACGTGTACCATTGGATGTATTAAAAATAGATGCCAATACAGTTTTGCATCCAGGATTGTTATGAAGTGTGGTTCCTCTTGTCAGCTCCCTTGGCATGGATGGGGGCCCCCTCCTTATAGCTGAAAGGAAGAGGACGTGCCTTGTTCCCCTGCCATGAGATTAAATCATTTAAAGTTAAAATAAGTGCAAGTTGCTAGTCCTTTATGTATTTTGGACTTTTCTCTGGGACCTGAGGGAGAGTGCGCTCGGTCTGCTCTTTTGCTCTGTGTGTTTGAGTCTCCCACATGCATTTCAAGTGTATCTTCTAATCATCTGCTCATTTGTGAACTCACTGGTAGCTTTTTCTTCCCTCAGATAAATATGAGCAGTTCCACCAGAAGGAATGCAAGTGGTGGGCATGTATAAGAGAACTGAAGATAGTTCACAAATAATTTATTCCACCTACTGGTCCCCATGCTTATCATAAAGGACCTGGAGAAGCCTTCAGAGAGTGCCTGCGTGTGGTTTTTAGAAGCAAGTATAGGTTGGCTGGAAAATAGGTTCTTCGATTCTTCAGGGCTTTCCTAGGTTTGGAATGACTGATTAAGGAAAGTTGGGGGAAGTCCAGTGCCTGCACATTCAAAGTAGGTTGGATGCTGCACTAAATAAACCTGTTCCATCTCTCTGTTGTACGGTTCCATGAGAGCTCCCTTCATGAAAACTTTATTTGAACTGTAGAAAAGCAGAAATTTACATTTTTAACAGTCTGTACAGTGCTGTGTTGTGTGTCTTTGTTTACAGATGTTTTGCAGTGGGTCTGGAGGACTAAGACAGGTAGTTAGCTGTGTTAGTCTGAAATCAGGCAGAAGGATTCTTATTTTATTCTTATCCCATTACCTAGATTAGCTTTTATAACCTGTGTCCCTCGTTGGGTTAACTGCTTTGTTTTTCTCTCTCCTACCCACCTTGCCACTCCCAGCAGTGCCCCTTCCTTTTTCCTCTCTCCTTTCCTACCTTTTGTAATTCAGACATTGCTGTCTATTTAGAAGTTCTGCTTCCTACAGTCACTTCACAACATCTGATGTAAGCTGCAGCTTACAAAAGCTTGTGTACCTCTGATTTAGTTAGTTTATAAGGTGCATATCTACCCTGCCTTCTGAAGTACAAAGACATCCCTTTCCTTTTACTGGCTGAAGTATGATGTATTGGCTAGGCACATTTTTAACAGTGAAAAGCCACTAGTCACAAGGGAGCTAAATCCAGGAAAGGGAAGCCAGAAACACTCCATGATAAGTAATGCTCTGTGCAACTGTAGGATTTTTGCAAGTGTAAATAGACTGTCTCTTTCACTTCACTGAAGCTCAGATCTGAACTAAGCAAGTTACCTGTACTGATATCTTGTTTAACTTCTGCAGCGTGAGAGAGACCTGTGCCCTTTTTGTTTCAAAACCACTTTCCTCATTGAAAGACTTCAGTGTGGGACTAAAAGTAGGCAGGAGCCAAGAGGAAACCGCTACTTTCCGAAAGATAGAAGCTGAAATGTTACAGCAGTTTTAGCAAATGTCTCTGTCTTTGTGTGGTTAAGGTAGCAAACCTCATAGCTATGAAGCTCCTTATGTGCAAACTCTGATTTGCACAGAGCGAACACAGTATGGAGCAATCCATTTAACAGGGACAGCAATCAAGGCCTTATGCTTAGATGAAAAACCCTGTGCTTGAGGCAGTTTGCAGGAAGCTTTGAAGCTAGCCTGGGAACCCTGGCAATATTAGTTGATAATTAGTAATATAGATCCCTCAAGCTGTCGTTTAGGTTGAAAATCTGCACATCTCTGTCACACCAATCTGATCAGCAGGCCTTTTTGATCCTTTCATGTGGGTTGTACTGTTGGTCCAGACGATGATGAGAACTCCCAGCCATCTCCTTTCTCACTAACTTGCGAGCAGAGTTGCTCTCTTCCTCATTTATGGTGTCATGGAAGTGGGACCAGAGCGGTTTTGTTTTGTGGTTCCTTTCTCATGAAGGCCTGATGTAAATTTCACAAAAGGGCAAGAGTCATTTAATTAAAAAAAAAATAGTACATTATGCTTTCTGGTATGTGCTGAACACCAGCTGGATGAATAAAAGGATCCATGATACCTAATGGCTTTTTCTTCTCAGGAAACTGCACACTGGGGATGTGCCACCACTGGATAGAAAAGATAAATGAAGGACATGCGTTAACAAAACCATGTCCCAAAAGATGAAAGAAAAACTCAAAATCCATAGAACCTGCAACACTTTGGCTTTAAGACACTATTAAGCCTAAGCGGTGTTGGGTCTCCAGTCACTTTTTCCTCTGCTGTGAAAATCTTTGGGAAGGGATATGTTTAATTCTGTGTGCATATAAATAGAATCTAGCACCATATAAGCAAGCAATAACAAGGACCATATGCACTGGTTTTACAAATTTGGGAGCATTGTGAAATATAATATCAGTTTGAAACTCTCTGTGGTTTAATAAAAGGCTCATCTGTCGGATGCAATTTGTCAGCACCTACAGGTGAGGAAAGA